ACTATCATATATATATATATATATATATATATATATATATATATATATATATGTAATCCGTATATTATCAGGAACAACGTATGCTGCAGCAGCCTGTCTTGACAAGGTACCAGTTCTTAGCAATGAGGCGGTTGAGTTGATCTGTTCCCTAGCAGGGTTTCAGGTTCCTTGGATGAATAGAATAAGTGAACACTTATTATCTGGTTAACGAAACCAAAACCGTGTGCTTTTAAGGATAGAATATGGTTAATTCTGAAAAGCAATCCACTGCTGTTCAAGTCAAGCTTGGGACTCTTCAGGTGGATATAACACGGTAGGCCACATGTTTTTTTCGATACACATGATTTTGTATTATGTTGGTGTTTTATTATTCTTCATTCCACAAGGACGGTTCGCATTCCGTGATCAACGAAGTCACACGCGGTGGCAGCATCGACAGTTTGCTCTCAGTCCTGAACGTCCTTAGTGGAAATCCATCCATCCACGAAACAACAGAAGCCGTAGCTCTGGATCCGAGTATCGTCTTGAAATTACCAGCGCGTTCATTCTTGGAAATATGTCAGCCTCAGACGCCTGCGTTTTTGCGAATTCTTCAAATGATCACCATTCGGCTACAACGCTTGATTACCGTTGCAATTCAAAACCACTTAGGCATCAGCTCTGAGCTCATCCGCCGGGTATGTGACTTCTAAGACGGAAATGTATTGTTTCGCTGCTGTATGTCCTCGCCATTTGCTCACTGTGTGAGTTTAGCTAGTAAGATGGAACTCTCTCTTGCGGTTGCCTCTGACGCACTGCCCAGATACCTCGGCAAGACTTAGTTCTTCAGCCGTCATGTTGATAGCAATGATGATGCGCTTACTTGCCAGCCGTTTGGGTTATATTCGTGATGAAGTGAAAAGAATTGTCAGATTGAATTCATTCTGCTTATTATATCTTTCTTATTCCCGAATTATGCTTTTTTACTCTTGTCCGTTAACGAATTCAGTTGAGGTGTTGCATTTCGTTAGCATTCCACATATCAAATAGCATTCTTCATTTAATATCACGGTTTTCGAGCATGGTTCTGATAGTCGCATCGTAATACACAAATTTTATCCGATAATACATTTGTTTTAGCTTGGAATGCGCCGGGTCCTGCTGGTTCATATTGAAGGTATGGCGAAGCCATGATTTAGATGTTACCTTCCTCTTTGTGGTTGATGGTTGGGTCGTCCACTAAGGTTGGCCTACCCATTGATCCACCGCTATTTCACTGCGCAACGATGAATGGCGAGAAAAAAATTTCAACAACATGCCAAGCCGTCAGTGTCAAGGATTTGCTTGCAAGAAAGCTTCATTTTAGAATTTCGGGTCCCGTAGTTCTGAACTAATCTTAATTGTGCGCATTGGTGGCCTGCATTTCCAGTTTACTAACGACTCTGCATGGACGTTGAGGTCACACAGTTAATAAGTTTCATTACTATTGCCTGTAATAGTGGACTGACAAAGATCCTCGGTGTCGTGTGAATAAAACTGACCTTATTTCGAACACCTGCCCACAGAGTAAAGCGGTGCGTTGAGCACGCATGTTGGATGTCATAGTGTGACGGTTTGTGTGCCTCAGCAATCCATTGAGCCATACTGGAGGATTCTTTTTCAGCATTCACGAGCTGGGGTTTGTTGATCGGGTCATTTAGCTTGGCAGCTGCCTAAGCCGTGATTGAAGTTAATGCACGGATAGCCAAGGTACGAGCAGCTTCCACCAACTTATATCATTTTTGGTGTCATAAACGTTTGGCCAAGCTAAAGGGCCGCGTATACAAGCAACTGTAACAGTGGTCTTACTCTGTGGTTGTGAGATTTAAGTTTCGCGGTGTGGAGACCTTAGGCGTCCCCAGGCGTTCGATCAGCGTTTTCTCTGTGGCATAGCAAGGGTCAGCTGGCTGCAGCGGTTACATAACGAGCCTGCGCATAAGTGGGTGCCTGTTAGCGGATCCGAATCGTTAAGGCAGCAGCTTGAGGTTACCGGGGACGAGATGGTCCAAGTGTTTAGAGCGCGAAGAAAGGAGGGCCCGGGTTCGAACCCGACCTCTGCCACTCGACTTCCCTGTCCAGGCCTGGGCGACCTGGCAGTATCCCAGTCCTCGTGCTTCCTTCGGGTGACATGGCAGCTAGGCACCGGAAGAATATTACAGCTGAACGATTATTATTTATATTATTGAGGTTACCAGATAGAGGTTGTTGGTTGGAGCATACATGACATATGCCCAACCACAGTCTATCTTGGAAAGCATTAGTTTTTTGTTCCGGGCGGTTGTTTGCAAATGATCTGACGGGATCTGCCGGTTTCAAAGTGGGCATAATGGGTTTCGCATTTCCGTGCAGACGGAAGCCCTCATACTTAACTGAAAGGGTTTTATAATGTTTGATGTTTCGGGACGGCCGAGCTCTGAGAGGACAACCCAAAGCATATCCATAATTGGTGGATCAAATGCTGTCCTGAGCTTCCGAGCGTATAACCGTTGTTTCCATTTCAGATGACGTGATCAGCTGAATCGTTTTGCATCCGCCTAGGAATCTACATTGCTCTTGAAGGACACTTTCTCCTTGGTGGTGAAGTAGAATGCGTGAAAGGACTTTGCTTGCAATGCTTAGAAGACTTACTCCTCGGTAGTCGTCTGTACTTCGGGCTTCCTTTTTCTTTGAAAACTGGCACGATTGTGTCACCCTTCTACTCTGATTGGATATTTTAGGTCCGACAGACTGTGCAACTCATGTGAGAGCTGTATCGTGTCATTCGTCCACCCCTTCAGTATGTATTTCATCTTTTCCAACACGTTTTGTGGTTCGGTTATCGTCCTACGATCTTCAGCCACTGTAAGCGGTTTGGAAAGACCCACCTTCATAGGGACTTGAGAAAGTGGCTGTGCTTGATAATTTATTTTCGGGTGATTTATATACTTAGATGTTTTAGGTACACGATTCCTGACTCCTGTCATCAGTACTTGAATCCTCTAAGGTGTGTGTGAAATACCATGTCTTGTTCTTCATCATTCAAGTCAAACTTTTGTAATGGTCCAGTCCAATAAAGTGTCACAACTGACACACAGCAGCACACTTTTTCATATCTCGAATCTCATAATAGCGATCCGTGATGTGTCCTGAGTTCATACACCAGGATGAGAGCAACCAAGTCATTATGAAATGCAGATGTGTAATAGGTGTTGGTCAAAGACCTGGCGATTACGGCGCATGAACTGGACACAGGACATAGAATAGATTTAGAAAATGTCGAAGTCTTGAGGCGTGGACTATGATTCTTATCACAGAGACCGGTAGTCTAGAGGGTGGAAATGACCAAGCATCTCAGTAGAAACGGAATAGAGGTTGTATAGCTAGTGAGTGCGTGAAGAGATTTGTATTAGCCGAGTTGACACGAGATGTTTTGCTGTCGTCAGTCAAGACCGCTCATCAACAGAACTGTTCGGGGCCTTAAGTAGAAAACAAGACTTGGTCGTCGTAACATCAACGCGCATACGCAAACCACAATTGTAAAAGACACAAGAAAATTTTTCGGGCGAAACAAACGGGAAAAACCAAACCCATGACCCAACCCAATCGATCATAACATAATAACCAACAAAAACCCAGTTGCGACAATTGACGCTGATTTAATCTGCTATTCTGAGGAGTTCTAGCCGAATGGTCCTCCGTTTGACTTGATCAGTCTTAGAAGCGAGTTGCTTGGGTTGACGAAGCTTCTATATCATAATCGAAAAGTTTTTCCGCACCAAATTTACCGATGATTTTCCAGACTTCTGAAATGCTATCTTGAATTTACATTTTAGGAGTCAATCTGTACGCTGACCGACTCGAAGGCTCAAGCTTGTCTTCAGTCACTTTGTCTCCGAGAGGCTTGTCCCTCTACTCCGGATATCGCAGGTGGATTACCATCAGGTAGGTGAGTTTTTCGTCTGATGTGCACCAATTTGTGCAGAAGGCACCGACCGTAAATACAACTGCGGTACCGTGTCCAAGTTATTTCACCTTCCTATTTGGTTCAGTTCGTTTCCTGCCGAACCAGTTTCGAGAATGTTTTTCTGCCGGTTGCAGCAGTTCATCGATGGGGCCTGACCTAGTGGTCGTTTCCCTTGGAGATTAAGGGGTCTTTCGCTGCACCGGGATCCTTAAATTCGTGACTGATACCAATCCACAAGCAATTGTGGACAATAGTTAGCCCCCCGTGACTGTTGAGTCAAGCTTCGATGCTCCGAAGTTGCAAATGGGAACAGTCGTTGGAGGCTTGTTTGTGTGTGCGTGTTATCTGTTAGTTGGCTGTCAGAGAGTGCTCGTCATGACGATTTTTCTGTTTTTATATTGGCACGCAATGGTCGATTCCATCTAGTTGTTTTCGTTTATTCTCGTAGTCTTACTACATCGCCCGCGTCCCATTCCAAATGATGCGGTCGAAACTCAAGTAAACCGTACGATTTTGGTGTGCTTCAAGCATCTGTTGATCGGTTCGTTTGACGCAGAAACAGTGTCCCCCTTCCTGTATGTCTTGTCGTTTATCTTTGGTTATCATAGAGATACTTCACTGCTTTATTTATCTCTTATATGTGTGCTACCACTTTCCACGTCAGATTGCTTTTTGATTTCGGTGTCTGTATAATGATCTGTTTCCTCCATACCCGGTCGACTGGGAAATACGTCAATCAGAGATTACTGTGAAACTTATCTAAACTTATCTAGACTATGTGGATGAGCTTGTTTCGAGTGTCGCGCTGCGGCGGGCTTTCATCTGGCTGTCGTGCGTCAGTAGCGTCACGCTTTTCGAAGACTCCGATGTGCGACAACAACTCGATGTACGTTAATCGTGTTACCTATGTGCAAGTGGTGGTTGCTTCAGATGCCTTTCACAAAGCAACCAAATGCTGCGGTACTGGCTTCCACAATTTGTAGTTCGCTGCTAAGCACTAGGTATGCCGATAGAATACTTTCAATGTATCAACTATTGGTGCAGCACAGCATCGTACAACCATTTAGTTTAATGCTCCATGTTTCCTGTTGGGTTATCGGTGGCGGATGATGAAAGACAGGTGGTTTGAAAACGTTTCTACTTATTTCAGGGCGACTTGCGCCTTGTCCACAGTCAGCCATTGTATTTCTGCTCTAGAATGCGAAAATAAAGCACCATCATCGAAGGAAAACAAAATAAGAGCATTGAACTGTGAATTAAATAAATAACTGCCCACTTGGTATTGAATTGGTGCAAAGTTGCACTGGCGAACGCTGCCCTGCGGATGGTTGCTAGATAGAAGTTGCAGAAGGCTGTGATAAGAAAACCGCCGTCTTTCGCGCCGGTGTTGATTCCGAACTTGAACTTGCCTAACCCGTCCTTCCGCGATGAATGGCCGAATTGCTGATCTCGTATATATGGACTTGCTGTCTTGTGTTGTCACACTTGTATCGCGGTGCATTGTACTATTATCATTTATTTTTGAAGAGCATGGTCACAAACATAAAAAGTGAGTGCAAGCGATGAATGCGAAAGAGTAACGGGAGAATGTGGGAGAAAAGAGAGAAACGTCTCAT